AATACATTTATTTATAAAATTAATTGAATTTTCGGGCCGGGCCGGGCCGGTCCATAGTCGGTCCCATAACCGGTCCCGGTCCCGGTCCCGGTCCCGGTCGGTCCTGGTCCCACGAAACTACCAAAAACCTCAACCGGTCCCGGTTTTCGGTCACATAACCGGTCCTTACCGGTCCCGGTCCCGGGCCGGGCCGGGCCCATTTGGCCATCTCTACTCTCGGGTGCGACACTTTCACCGGCCCTTTTGCCCAATATCATCTGACGCCTCCTTCTCTACTCATCTCCGGTCACTGGCCACCGCTGGTTCTTGTTCTCTATCCATCTCCAACCACTGGCCATCATCTCCTCAACTCTCACCTTCACCGGTCCGACTCCTTGTTGAACAACTCAGATCGGTTTCGGTTTTTCATATCCCAAGAGATATGGTTTCTGCACACCCAAATTGGTTTCAATTTTTGGTTTATGTTCAGATCTCATTTTAGATCGGGGACGTGACCTAGACCTTGCCAGAGATGTAACCCAAATATCATCGGAGATGTAACGCATAAGATGTAAGGTTTTTGGACGTAAACTAGATCTCTTTGGAGATGTAACGTCGAGTGTAATACAGTGATATCACAGTTGTATTCATCAACCAGATTTGGTATCATAGTGTGTATTACAATGCATTTTTGTCGTTATACGAAGTGTATCACAATATATTTTTGTTGTTTTACAAAGTGTAACACAATACATCAGACAATGTTGCTTTACTAAGTGTATCACACTGTGTTTTTCATTATTTTATGAAGCGTATCACAGTGTTCATCATGTGTTTTTTACCGGAATAAGATTCGCCAAAATAAAGTTTGACAAAGAGAGGAGAAAGGATATATAAAGATTTTTAAAATACTTAAAATGTCTTCCAAATAAAATTTTAAGTCAAATTACCAAAATTATTATTTTCCTAATTTCACCATTAATTTAGGTTGAGATTGGATCTCATAGTTATCACAAACTGACCGATTCTCCCTTTAATAACCCCCTCTGTGTGTGTATATATATATATGTGTATATTATAAACTTTCTTCATAGAAATTAGATAAAATGGGAAAAGATTTATTATAAAATATGAATTAAAAAAATTTATATCTCGTTGCATCGTATGAGTAACAGATCCAGAAATATAATCTAGGGTCGTCATCTTAAATAAAACAAAAGATAATAAGCATATACAGATATTATGTCAATAGAAACATTCAATCGTAAAAAATAAATGTATGCAACTATATTACAGATGCGGAACACTGACCCTTACAAAATCAACAATTTTACTATACTGTCAAGATTCGAACAAAATTAGCTGCATCATCAAGATTCAAGCAATTAGAAGCGTGAAGACTAAAGTACCAAGTAATCAAGGATTTAAAGTAATCAATTCAGCACTTTAGCTATCAAGTTAAGCCCACTACTGCTGTATGTATATTAGTATGCCATTGCCAACATCACATAGTTTGCTAAAGAATGTGAAGTAGGTGCATCAATAATGATTCCTAAGTTACAAAATACAAGCACATTAGAACATATACCAACAAATAAGCAATTTACAACACAATATCGAGATAAAGTACATTGATCCTGTCTATAAAACCCCGAAATCAGTAGAGAATATGAACGCTTACAACAGAAAAGTAAATTAACGTTGGCAGCAAAGCAAGAGAGTTTCCAATTTGTACGATTGCAATCTGAGAGGCATTAAGCATATAAATATATTACAACTTGTTTTCTTGTCCCATTTTTTGGTTTATTTATAAAAGGAGTCCTACTTGAAACACAATGACAAAAATATGGTTTAATCTTTTTCTCTAACCAACCATCTATATTTCTCTTCATTTGCCAATCTTCTTCTCCCCACATAGCTTTCTCTTGTCACATACATCATATATACATGCATACATATATATATACATATGTGTGTGTGTGTGTGTGTGTGTCTTAACCCATATGGATATCAACCCCTAAATTCCAATTTCTTGATGGAATATCAAAAAAGATAATTGGTATGGAGAAGATAGCAAACTGCTGTGAAACCATTTTGGGTTCAGATCAAAGCACCCTGTTAGGACATACTGATATAAAGAGCAAATTAAGATCCCATTCAGATAAGACTGGTCTTTGAACATCCCATTCAGATAATAGTAATTTTCAGAACATTTTAGATTTTTATAAACACTAGGGGGAGAGGAACACACAAGAAGATGAATTTTGATACAAACAAGTAGAGAAGAATAACATGTATGTACGTACATACCAACAAGTCATCTTCCACCAGATAACTCAATGGCATCTTGATTGTAGATGGAGTCTTCTCCCCAGTCAAATCTTCTTTGTAAACGATCATACTCTTGCCTACGTGTAACTTCAACATTCTGCCATTCTTCCCACCGTTCAGCAAGCCCTTCTCCTTCCAGCATTCTCACCACTTCTGACATGGCTGGCCGCTCCTCTGGTGACCCTTGGGTACACAACAATGCTACCTTTATCATCATCTCCACTTCTTGCATGTTGTACTTCTTATTCAGATTGTGATCCACGATGCCATCCAACCTCCTTTCCCTTTCTAGTTTCTTGACCTTCAGAAAGAAAAAACAATAATTAAATAATATTCTATATGAAAAATATAATTGGGAAATAGAAAAATGTGTTATCTTTACATGGTCAAGCAACAACACATCATCTTCTTCTTCAAGGCGTGAAAAATCTATCGCCCGTTGTCCTGTTACAAGTTCTAGAAGCATGATCCCGTACCCAAAAATATCCGTCCTTTCTGATGACTTCCCAGTGGACAGGTATTCAGGAGCTATGTGACCCATTGTCCCACGAACTTGAGTAGTCACATTAGTCTTTCTCACATCCACCAACTTGGCCAACCCAAAGTCACCTACAACAGCTTCAAAATCTTCATCAAGCAATACATTAGCTGCCTTAACATCCCTATGGATTATTTTAGGACTGCAATGTTCATGAAGGTATTCCAATCCACGAGCAGTGCCTAAAGCTACCCTCTTCCTTGTCTCCCAATCTAAAACAGCCTCTCCAGGTTTAAGTTCTACAAAAGACCATCCATCAGAGTCACAGAAAGAAATCAAAGCAGCTACAAGAATGACAAATAAAGGTCGTAAATACCTCGTAGGCGGTAGGCAACACTCAAGTTCTGCATGTAAGGATACACCAACAAACGTTCCGTAGGTGTGGTGCAAAACCCAATCAGACGTAAGAGATTCCTATGGACAGCCACACTTATCATCTCCACTTCACGCTGGAATGCAGCATCCCCACCAGGACTCTCATAATCAGTTAACCGTTTCACAGCAACTTTTGTATTGTCTGCAAGGACTCCTTTATAAACCTTTCCAAAACCTCCTTGTCCAAGTACATTTCTCTCGTTAAAGTTATCCGTAGCAAGCTGTAGTTCCCTCCATGCAAATCGCTTCAGTTGACCAAATGCAATTCTACGGTCAACTTCCCCTAAATCATGACCAAACACAAGTTAATTTACATGAGAAGAAATATAACTCAATACTCTAACAAAAGTATTAATTGTCAAAATTACTCAATATTTGTATCCCTGACTTTTAGGTGTGAGATATTGTATTATGATTTGAGTATATCAAGTGCTTACTTTTCCGGGATCCTCTTAGCTCAAGGAGTCTAGTTTCCATATTTACTAGGCTGTAAATCAGTAAATCCCTAGATTAGTAGGTTGTGCATACAATTCTGCTGAAAGAGAAAATGGTGGTTTGTATTTTTTTGTTGATGATCATACTCATTTATATTGGGTTTACTTGTTGAAAGAGAAATCTAAGGTCTTTGAAGAAAAGGAGGAATTTGAAGTTAAAGATTTAGGAACTCTATTGGAGTTGAAGCCTACACTGATGCAGACTAGGGAGGCTCTTCTATTGACAGAAGGTCCACAATAGGGCATCACACTTACGTTTGAGGAACCTTGGTGACTCTGCCCCTAAGCATAGTTGGTTTCGGGGTGGTACACTTGCACAAATAGGTGATGGTTCGAGTCTGCTAGCTGCAGTGTGGGAGTTACAACTCCTTTGGGGATTTGAGCTCTGTGTGGGCACTGAGCTCTTAAGCCTGTCAACTAGTGGGCCACTGTGTACCTAATTTTCCTCACATGATGCTCTTGGGGCGTGGCGGTGTGGATTAAGTCGGGGTTGCCAGTTACAAACCCCTTTTGGCACAAACTTGGTGACATGGAGTAAGAAGAAAACAGTAGTTTCTCATAGTAGTGCAGAAGAAAAATATAGAGCTATGACACATGGCATTTCGGAGATGATTTAGATACAAAAAAAAGAATCATGGAAGAATTAAATCTTCCCATAGGAGGTCCAATAGAACTTCTTTTTTGTGACAAAAGGCAACCGTGAACATTGCAAACAACCCCAACATGTAGAACTTGAAGACACCTCATTAAGGAAAAGATTGAAGCTGGAATTGTCTACATGCCTTTTCTTCCAACTTCGAAACAACCACCTAAGGGTTTAAATGGTGGAATGTAAATTCCTTGGGTTATAGCAAGGAATTCCAATTCCTTCCTCTCTTCTTTTAAGAAAAACAGTTATCCTCTTATATTTACTCCATTCTCTTCCATCGCACTATGATGGTTGTCACCACCACCCGTTACCACTGTCGCATTCACCCCAACTACCATTATCACCTCGCCTTCACCCTCACCATCACCTTCACCACCACCGTCACCAAAGTCATCACCACCGTCACCATTACCGCCACTCACCACCACTATTACATTCAATGAACCAAACAAACAAATTATAAAGGGAAATTTTGGTAATTTATTACTAAGTTTTTATATTTCTTAAGTTATATTTAGCGAACCAAACAAACAAATTATAAAGGGACCTTTTGGAAATTTATTACTAAGTTTTTATAATTAAGTTATATTTAGTGAACCAAACAAACAAATTATAAAGGGAAGTTTTGGTAATTTATTACTAACTTTTTATAATTCTTAAGTTATATTTAGCGAACCAAACAAACAAATTCCAATTCTTTTAACAGATTTCATTCCAATTCTAGCCAACCAAACGCATGGTCGAACCTGATTAAATTCCATTCCAATTCCTTCAGATTCCAATCCTTTAACAGATTCTAATTCCGACAGATTCCATTCTGTGAACCAAGCGCCACGTTATTAGCGTTGTCACCAACTCCATATGGACACATAGGTAAGCATTTGGACAACACTACATAACTAAGATCAATACTAGGACCAATGATAAAGCAAGACGTGTTTAAAGCTGGAAAATATGCTTGAAAATTTGGATAGCAGCCGGTACTTTCGAACCTCAAATCTGAATGACGTGATGATTATTTCACACATGAATAGTAGCGGTTTTGAGTCTCCCATTCATGATAGATCTATTGGTACAATAGTGATCATATATCCAACAGTTACCCCTAACCTGATTGACATCTTTTACTGGGGTATTTGGCTCTTTGGGTATTTGTAAGCTTATAAGGTATTAAATTGATTTCACTTTGGACAATAGCATCTGCCTTCCTAAATTTGTGGAGGTTAGAGACATGCTACTTGACAAGTAAATTTGAGGACATTGTGCTTTCTACTTTCTAGCATAAATGGGACGCACTTCCTCTCAAAAAAACTTTTTGCAACACAAACTATTTGCATGGAATAGGAGAAGATATATTTTTTAAGAAACAAATAATATCTTTTCAACTTTATTATCTATATTAAAGTTATTTTTAGTTTAGACCACTAAAATCAAAGTAGAGTTAAAAATGATCTTAAACCATATGCCGACTTGCATTTTTCTTCTTTCAACATATGATTTTGCATTGACAACGTCATATTCGTCCCTCTCACCGCCCGCACTTGTGTTAGAGATTGTCCACTAAAATAATCTTGTGTAATGCACATCAATTTCGAGGGTTTGATAGTCCACTTGTTATATTGGCTATAATCATATTTAAATCAATTTGTCTTTTGTTTACTTTTACTCCAGCCCAATTATTCTCCATCTTTCGTCTATGTCCACTAGAGAAAAAGTATATGGATAAAATAAAACCCACATAAGAGATGATACAACATTCGCATGTCCTCTGTTTAGGAGAACCTTTTAGCATCTGAGTCATCTCCATCACCTTCTTTCGTTTTTAATTAAACCTTCGTTGTAATATTCATAGCTGCAGTAGCTGATTCGGGAACTTTTCAGAATGGATAATGGAGGATGTTGATGGTGGCAACTCATGGCAAGGTGGGAAGACAGGAAAGGAGAGTGATTGGATTGCAGGACCAGTTTTTGTTGGCTACTTTTGTTGTGACATGTTATACCCTGGGTACTGGACACAAGTGATTAATGCACTGTTACAAGTGGATAATGCAGAGATTGTGAGTAGCTTTAAGTAGTATAAATAAAGGTGGTGAGAGGTGAGAGGAGAGAAGGGGATCGATTAGTTTGTTGATTGTAGTTCAGCGGGAACATTGAGGAGAAATCGAAACTTAGAACCAAGATTTTAATCGAAAATTACGCTTTTTGATCACCAAGTGTGTATTAATTATATCAGAGCGGTGAGATCTGAAAATGACAAGGAGCATGTTGTCAAGAGTAGCAGGAAATTAAAGGCAAATTGGGGACGGTGATCTTGAAAACATGTGATAAAGGACCTCCAAATCCAATCTTGAAAACGTGTGCTAAAGGAGATCAGAGGCAGAGAGCAGCCAATTTGTAACAATTAAAGGACAAGGATTTGAAATGGCAACTTATGAAGGATCCAATCCAGACAGCTGATTTTTCAAGCTGAAAGGTACTTTATTCTAAACCGTCCCACTGAGGAAGAACAAAATGAAGTTTTGCTTGTGTCATTTCGAAGGAGATGCATGCATTATGGTGATTCAATGGGACAAAAGAAGGCCATTCACATGTTGGGAAGAGTTGCAATTAATGTTGCTTAAGCAACTCCAAATCCACGGCGGATGGTTCTCGACGTGAGCAGTTTGTGTTTCTCAAGCAGAACTAGTAGACGATTATCGGTGCAAGTCTGAGTTCCATTTGATGTTTTCTATTAATCGGAGTGAGACGATGAAATTAGCTTTGAGGACGAAGGAAAAGAAGCAAATAATTGGCAAGAATCAATATAACTTAGAACATGGGAAACGAAAAAGTAATTGAAGGATTGAGGGAATCTAAAATACCAGGGGATCAAGAAAGCGAATTAGGAATGAGAGAGACGCATCAGAGAGTGGAGGTGCATTTGAATTCGGCAGTGGCTTTGATAATTCCGAAAATGATGTAAAAGTGGTGGGGATCATTGAAGAGCAAAAAATGTGGTGCTGATAGATAGTGAAGCAACACACAACTTCATTTCAAAGAAGGTGGTATCAAAATTAAAGCTGCCAACAGAGGTGAGGGAATGCGGTATTACAATGGGAACATGCATCATCATTAAAGGATAGAGGGTTTGTGTGTATTTGCAATTGCAGGGATAGAAGTACCAAAGAAATTTCTACCAATTGAGTTGTGTAATTTAGGGGCTGTTTGTTTACCTCTTAATGGTTCCATTAAGAGACAGTCTCTGTATCGCTAAGAGGTGAATCTTGTTTGGCAAAAAAATGTCTGCATCTTAATGGTTCTAAAATCCTTTGAATGATTTTGTATTATGGGTCTTCCTTAACCATTCAGCACCCTAATTCCATTGTAAACAATTACTGAACAATTATATTTCATTTTGCACTATATCATGAGAGCCTTTTAATCATTCTGATCACTTAATCATTCTGCACCAAACCATTCAACAACTGTCAAACAGCCCCACTTGATTTTGGGTGTCCAATGGTTAGAAACTTTGGGCGCAACATACAGTCATACACTAATTGGAAAACCCAAATTACAAGGATCAAAATGAGTTCAAAGTAGGCAACATTGAAGAGGAATTCAAATTGGGAGGGAGTCTCATGTCATTGAACGTGATTAGGAAAAATATTTGATAGGAGGGTCATATGGTGTTAGTGGAGTTGGGATTGGTAACAACTCGAGAGCAAAGCGAGAATATCGAACCACAGGAGTTAAGAACCATGCTGGAAGAGAATAGGGTGTGTTCAATTGTCTTAAAGGTTTGCCACCTGAAAGAGGTAAAGGAAGTTATATTATTCAGTAAGAAGACAGTGAACAGGCCAATGTATAACCTTATAGATTTCCTCATTACCCAAATATGAGATAAAAATTGATTAATGAAATGATAGAAAGGGATCCGTTGTAAAAGTAAGGTGATAGTCGAATGGCTGCAGCCACAAATAATAATTGGATGACAATATGACATGGATTTATAGGTCTTTTGAGGTATTATCGCAAGTTTTTTTGGAAAGGGGACAACACCTCTAGCAAGGTATTATCACAAGTTGATGGCTGGGTTTGGCAATATAGTAGCCCCTTTTACGAATTACTTAAAAAAATCAACCGTGTACATTTCAGGAGTTTAAACATGCATTTTCAACTGTGCCTGTGTTGAGGTTACCTGATTCCAATCAAGGGTTCAGGATAGAGATGGATGCAGTTGGTTATGGTTTGGAAGACGTAAAGATGCAACAAGCAAGACTGATAGCTGACTTTAGTGAGCTGTTGGGTAAGCAATCATGCCTGAAGTCTGTTTATGATAAAGAACTCAGGATGATGCTGTTGGCGGTGAGAAAGTGGAGACTGTATTTGTTGGACAAGGAATTCGTAGGAAGAAGTTGATCAACAAAGTCTCATAATTTTATTGGAACAGAGGGTAACTGAACCTAAAAATCATAGATGGGTTAGCACACTAGGTGACGCTAATTGGGACCATCATGTTACCGCTACCACAACCCACATTCGTGATGAAATGCATTTGAATCGAAATTTGTATTTCTTTCTACCTTGAGGACAAGGTGAGAGTAGGGGGCAGGTATTGTTAAACCTCGGGTAGTGACTAGTCAAAAATAGTTGGTTGGGTACAATTGACTAATGCACAGGTCGTAAGGTATAAGTCGGTGATGCAACGATTTGTAAGTGGGTGAATAGCTTTAAGTAGTATAAATAAAGGTGGCGGGAGGTGAGAAGGAGATCAAAGAGGAGGAGGCCATGGTGTCACACAAAGCATCAAGGAGGAGGCCTTCACATCACCTCAGTCCTCAACCTCTATGATCATACTGAGTACCGACGAACATGCATCAAGATTTTGGGTCAAGTTATTATTACTACCTATAATCGATGCTTGATTAGATTTAAGTTTTTTTCCTATGAATTAATTTAAATGCTTGCATATGTTTTATTTTTACTTGTGCATTATTTATTTTATAAGAATTTGATTGTACTTAATACTATTAAAAACTTGCATGTTAGACTATGGATATTATTAGAAGTGTTAAAATATAAAAGTGATCAACTTTGCCTATTTTTATGCAAATTGTTATAAACACGTTAAGTAAAAGAAGAATAAGTTGCAATCACTTTACATTCAATATTGTTTTATGTAATGATTTAACTATTGCCACAACAGGATTACGTTACATCTTGTAACATGTTCCAACAACAGTCACAACAGTAGAAATAGAAGATTTTTTTAGTCACTCAATTACTTTTTCAGGAAATTTTGTCACTTGATAAAAAGTACAAGTGAAAGTATACTCGTTGTATATATGGTTGTGGTAGCCTGGTAGGTAGAGGTGATGGCCAGACGAGGTATGCATGAATGGTAGAAGGACGTGTGTGGCATGTGGTCCAGATGAATAAAGAGAACAACGATTTTACCCCTGAAAGAAAGTCATGTATGTCACACATGATTAATTTAGCAGGCAATCTCTAAAGTACCTTCAATGAATTAGGATAACTGTAAAAATTCCATACAAGATCTGAACAAATAAACAGGTTTATAGCTTCTACTTTTTTTCAAAAATATCTAAAAGGCAGGAATATCTCATTCAAGAGAAATCTCAGAAGTATAAAAGGTTGAGAAGCAACTCAAGCACGCTTACCTGCAACGTCAACAAAGACCTCACGCTTGTAGCCTTTGTGCCTACCCCTCCACAAAACCAACATCAAGCATCCAAGCAGCAGAAGACCAAGGACTCCTCCAATAACCCCAATTATAATTCCTGCCATTGATTTCTTGGAAGCATCTACCACATAATAATTTGATGGTCATGCCTTAGCCAGAATTAAAAGTCATTGTGCTGCTACTTATATAGTAATCTGTAAATATTATAACAGAAACTGAAATCAAACTACCTCCAGAACTAGATGTACAAGGGTGGGTATTATTAAAGCCACAGTTCAATCTGTTCCCTGTAAAACTGAAATAAGCCGTCAAGGTCATGCATCCTCCTAAGAAATCCAGAACCAGTAAAGTTAAGAATGCTATCTGAGAAATAGATCTCTACGTACTTGAATTTAGAAACTTGAAATAAACGATCAGGTATTTGGCCACTGAAGTTGTTGAAACCAAGTAAACTGCGCAATAGGTCCCAATGATACCAGCAAAATAAGAATGACGATGAAGACAATAATAAATAACTACATAAACTGAATTCTTGAAGTTACATTTGTTTCATCTCATTATAGCATCCACATCTAACTGGGACTATTCACTTACATGCTTGTCAAGTTTGGCAGACTTGAGAGTGAGTCCGGGATAGGCCCTTCAAGATTGTTTTGGCTCAAGATCCTATTTGCACAATTGAAAAGCCGCATAATAAAAATAGTAAATATCATCAATGACATGCTACAAATTATCGGTATGCAAATAAGCCGTTACTCACAAAAATTGAAGATTTTTAAGATTTCCAAGCGAAGATGGTATTTGTCCAGTCAAACGATTGCTTTCTAAATCCAACATCGTCAAGCTAGTTAGGTTCCCAAACTCTTCTGGTATCCCCCCTGTTATTTGATTCCCTTGCAAAGAACTGAAGAACGAAAAATAAAATCAAACTGACCCACTAAAAAGTGGCAGTGAACAAAAAATGAACAACTAAGTTCCACCCAAGCACATAAACTATAGTTCCATGAACCCAAATTAGTATGTTTATTATAAGCTGTAATTGTGTGGCTCTTTTGGAAATAGTCTTACATTACATGCACATAGCAAAAGATGTACGCATTCTAGAACTCATGGCTCGAGTTTAGACAGGATGTGCCAGATTGTCAAAAAGATAGGCAAGCTCAAGTTGAACCAACCTGCTAGTTTGACTATCCATGCCAGTTCCCAAGTTTGGTATATCCAGGGATTGACAGTTTGATGAGCCTAAATGAGCTAAGCCTACAGAACCTATTCAAGTCCATATAAACCTTGCCAGTACGAGCAGGTCTAGTATGAGCAGGCCAAAGTTCAAGCATATACGAGTCTATACAAGCCAACAGGAACCAAACCACAGCTCAAGCAATAGGCAAGTCAAGCACAAGTATGGGCTTTTGAAGCATGGCAATCCACTAGCCAAGCCCAAGCCTTGATATTTTTGCATGAACCAAGCAGCTCAGGAGGGATCATATCGGCTCAAGTACACCCTTACTCATGGCACAACTGGAGACAAATTTAATCATGCTACGGGGACCAACCAAAATGATAGAAAAAGTAAAATGTGTATGAAATTCCTTTTAGGAAGCTCAGGCATAATAAAGTTGCGAACTTTTTCAATTACTCCATCCACCGCAGACTAAATTGAGTTTTTATCTTATATTATTGTTCCACATTAAGTTACTCTTGGTTTCTTCAACTCTTCACAAAATATATGCCTACTTCTTCTGTGTGTCAGGGGTTTGAAATATTTGATAGCAACAAAACTATGAATCATCATTCTTTTGTGTGTGTGTGTGTGTGTTGGGCTTGAAATGTTTGATAGAAAGTAAACTATAATTCTACTTTTTATTAACAAATATTTCATATAATCATTAATGTTAGTTGGTGATACAAATGTTGTCCATAACACCTTTGCCACTAAATTTCACACATAATAGCTCAAATTACAAAACAAAATATTTCTTGATGTTTGGTGGCAAGAAACTTTGAAACGTGTTTTCAATTGTTATAAATAGGAGATGAATTGTGATAAACAGAGACCCATTGCGACTTGTAGTGATTTTCATATTAGAACACTAAAACTTCTAAATCGTCTTCATATTGAGAAGAAGGCTCATTCATATTGGGGCACAGGGAGTCGAGAACTACTATTTTCAGTTGGTGAACTTGTTCCCATCAACTTATCCATTCTATGATTTGGTCCTCCATGCTCCTGTTTTCCAGTGCTGGTCTTTTCTCATGTATATACCAGTGATACATTATGATCTGGATGAAATGATTTTGGCAAATTGCCCGTTAACCAGCACAGATGACAGCATATGCATATAATCATATTGTTCCAGTTCTCCTATACGTACAGTATGGTAAGCTTTGATAGAACTCGTATTCTTGGTGACAAGGATCCCGTAAATCCCATGAATGACATTGATCTACAAAAGTACAAATAAAATTAGTATCACATTAGGAAACCCTAAAATCAATAATAAGTCTACTGAACTGCTGATAAGTAGACAATGCAAATCACGGTGAGGAGGAAGTTCCAGCTATCACGACCACTTACACAGAGAAAACATTGTTATTCGCATCACAGCTAACTTTAGACCAAGTGCAAGGATTAACTTGATTCTGGTTCCAATCTGTGAGCTGATCAGGTGAAGCCTTAAGTGAAGCCCTCAGATCATAGAGTGCATCTCCTGCATATATTACCATACAGTCAATTTTTTAACCGATGCCTAGTCATAACTTTGTGCCACTACCAATTGAACACCATTGCAAACAGCTTTAGAACAAATGATAGATACAAAAACAACATACTATAACTAAATACATATATTTTGTGGGCAGCAATGAGTGAATGCGAGGGTATTATCATTCGTTTGTAATATAACAATTGATTTCCCACTTAAGAGGACAGTGGTTGTTGCAATGCTATTTTCAGAAAGCAAGTGCAAGTATATTGCAACAATATTTGCTGCAGTTACCATTGGGTATGGTGATAACTAAGCTAGGAAAATCTATTACCATAACAAGAAAAATATACCTTGGGCATCAGGTGCTACCAAAAGCAAGTTTCCGAACACTAGAAGTACAAATATTAGCTCCATCTCTCAAGCAAATCGTTGCTAATGATTTGTTTCAACTATCAGCAGGGCATCCTCTATGAACGCATGAATAAACATCATTTCTGTATTTACATCCAGTACGAGCTTATATCATTAAGATTGCTAGATACAAAGAAGTCATTGACAACAAGTGATGCAAGGCAATACTGCTAAACGAATAGTTGGATTTAAATTATTAACTAGATGAACGAGTTTTCCACAGAACAGCCAAATATATTTCCTTCCTGCCCTCTATCATTGCATTCCCACCTGAAATGGCATTAGCAGATGGACTTTTTGGAGATCTAATAGGAGCATGAAATTTTGTATAGGTTGAGGACTCCTTGTGGCAGACATATGGACCACGACTTGGGTGAAGATGATGAATTAAGTGTAATTCCTTATGCTTGCTATTTTTCATCTAAAACTAAAGACCTCCATAACAATTTAAATCCCAAATCCATTTTGTGTGACCATAAAAGTCAAAGTCAATCCCGGTTTCTGCAAGGGCAGCTTTAATAACGTCATTAGGGAAGCCCTTTTCCATGTTGTCTTACGGTCAGTTTGTTTGTTTTCCACAAAGTGTTGACAGAACAAAGTGGTATATCTAGATAAACAAGGTATGCCAGGAGTAATTAGTAAATGATGAATTATTGCTTGTTTTGTGGTGCTGAATGAACAGCGTAAAAGAAAGAAAAAGAACATAGATAAAAGAATGGGAGACAACTACGGTACAACTCACTTTCTTTTAGAAAATCACAGATGCACAGCTACTCCAACACTGGATTCTATTTCAAACTGTTTGAAATAGAATCCAGTGTTGTGCAAATTTAAAGTCCCAACATACTGTTTGCTTTATGTGACAATATTTGAACTAACAAACTGCATTTAGCCTTGACTTATAATTTAACTCTAGCATCAGCAATGCTATACTCCTATACGCTTTGTTTATCAGCAAAATTAATAATTTTGATATCGAAGAAAAGCTCAAACAGTTTATACATCATGATTGCATCTTCATACAATAAACTAGCCCTAAATCAACTTGTCAAATTTATCATCAACATATGGATGTAGCAACTATCAATCTCATCAGATTATGAAGTTAGGGATAAGGTAACCTTTTTTCGTCCGAATGTGAAAGGAGGAGGCAATCGACTGAAGAGGAACAGCGCCTAGCTTGATGTAGGAGATCTTCTTGGTGGGCTTGCCAATTTTGTGGTTCTTAAGTTGAGGAGGACCTTAAATTGGCTTCTCCAGGGTCTATGACGAGGGAGCGAAGCAGCTCAATTAAACCCTTAATAGGCAGCAAGGAAGCGATTTAAGGGGGAGAAGCAGATCACCCAAAAAATAATGGAAGTTTCTGACAAAGAAAAGAAAGGATCAACACAAGGAGATGGATTGAGTCGAAAACAGTAGCAGATATGGTGGATCAAGCAGGAATGATGAGTATGGAGCAGGAGTCAAATATAGAAGCTTGTTTCATCAAATCAAATCACATATATTGGAAAATAATTAAAAAACAAGTAATTATCACAAGCAGTAGCAGCCTCCTCCTCTTAAACAAATAACATATAATTAATGGTTTAATTATGGTGTGGGTTGGTGGTGGCCCTCCCTCCAAACAAAATCATTTTCCAAGAAAATTATGGTACTTCAACTTTTTGATGCCAAATTAGAATTCTAATACAACCTTTGCTTTTAATCAATCATCGTTTAGGGGTGTTTAGGATTGCTTATTTGAAATAATTTATGTTTTTTTACAAAAGTGTTTATCAACTTATATTAAGTTAAATGGTTTAACTTCTTCAAAAACTTCTTATTAGCAGTTTGGCACCGGCATAAGTTGTTTATCCAAATACTCAAAAGTACTTATTACTGGTGGCACACCGAAATAAGTCAATAAATTATTTTTATGCACAATCCCAAACACCCACTTAGGTTTATGTGGGTTAAACATTTGGTTTATGTGGTTTATTATGAAATCGGTTCATCAACGTTATTACTTATAAAAACCATGACGATTATTGATTTTCCTCTTGTTAAGAACTGGTCTCTTTCGTTGATAAACTTTAACTTTTAATGATTAAGTTGTAACATCAAAGATTTTTAAATATATTTTATTGAGTTTTATGATGTGTTATGACATTAAAATGTCGTTTATTAACCACATATTATAAGATAATTGGTTGGTAAGAAGTTATGCAAGGAAAACCAAGAAAAAGGGTAAAACGAGTGAGAAACAATGGCCTCCGATGGCTGGTGCATGGCCTCTTTGTCTAAACAAATTGGATGTGGGCAAGGGTCGCAAGGTTCTCTAGAGGCCGAAGTCACCTAACTCATTGGAATGTCAAAACGGAATTGAAATCCTGAAACAGAGAGTTAGGCTACCAGATATGCAACCAGGGTCTTAGTTGAGGTAGCATATAGAGTTAGGCGACTAGATATGTGACCCATGTCTCAATTGTGATAGCATATACTGAATAGAGACTTAGAAGACCAAATTGAGATAACATATAGAGTTAGGCGACTAGATATGTGACTAGGGTCTCAGATGAGGTAGCATATACTGAACAGGAAATTAGGATACCAGATATGCGACCAAGGTTTCAGTTGTGGTTGCATATATGAAGTTGTGAGTGAGAATTTGGGCACGAGCGACCAGATATGTGATGTGGGTCACATATGAGGTCATATATGGTATGTAGATGGATAAAAAGTCTGATTTTTAAGCTTTGACTCATTTTCTTTCTGCTCTTCTTTTCTCTCCTCTTTTTGGCTATTTGGAGTAACCTTGGCAAAAAAAATGGAAGATTTTTGGAGGGGTCTAACTTGTTTGCTTCAAAGGTTTGTGTTTCGAAGTTGGGTTGAGGATTTGGAAGGATTTCATGGAAGAGTTTTGGTTGGTAGATCTCAAGTTCTTAAAATTGTAGGTTTTTGAAATATTTCAAGCTCGAGTATGAAAATCTTTGTAGATCTAAAGCCTAAGCTCGTTTGTGGTCCTTTTTTAGACTTGAGGAAGTGAGTTGTTTGGATACCCTAGATCTTTGTTAGTGAAATCTTTGTGTAGATTTGGGTTTGGAATAAAAAATTGTATCATTTTTCATTTGAATTTCCTCACTGATGAAGGATTCCTCGAAAAGTTAAGAAAAATATGGCTTTTCCCGGATGAAATGGAAAAAATAGCATGTTGTATCAATGGCGAGTGCCCGATCGAATTGATCGGATCATGTAGGAACACTTTTGATTCTGCAATATTTTCTTCATTAATTACTCGAATTTGGCTTTCAAATTAAGCTCCGATTCATTCATCTGACCGTAAACTAGAGCCACTTTTGATTCTGCAATATTTTCTAGATTTAACTTAACCTAGCAAGGTGAGTTCAAGTTGTTTTGTGAAAACTTTGTACATACCAAAGATGTCCATTTTGAAGCCTTAAGATATTTTACTTGATGTTTATCAAACATGTGGTTTATTTGATGAGATTTTCATTTTTGGCACATTTGATTTTATAAATCTTGTAAACTATCTATACTTAGGGTTTTGGACATTTTGATAAACAAATCCCAATGATGTAATTATTTTGATGATTTATTTTATAAATGGAGATTATATGACGATAATGCATTTTTAGGGTAATGGGTTTAGAAAATGGATATTATTGTGTTAAGGTACATTTTGGAAATATAAGTGGTCTTACTCCATTTGGAAAGTGATTTTGTCCCAAACAATGATAGGCTTTTGAGTTGGTCATACTTTTGGGCATGAGTTTGCCTATTGATTGAGCAAATGCATTTTATTGACTTATTTTGGCATTTATTTGAGTAGTTAAATAAGTTGTGGTGCTTATTGATTTGAATATGACTCATCTGAGTTTTTGGGGGACATTTTTTGGTTTAATTTTATCTATCTTAAGTTTTGAAAGTGATATGCAGTTATTGCATATTTATTTAGATATTACATGTTTTGAGTTCGTTGGTCATTCATTTTGAATCATGTAATTTAAGTTGTAACGCGATGAATCCATAGGCATAGGACTCGGTTTGTTGATTTAAAAATTGGATCATTATCCCTATTTTGCAGTTTGGTGCCTATACGAGCGATAGACCTGGAGTGGTTGAGCTTGACGACTACACGAGCAATAAGCCTAGAGGGGTTGATTTTCTATAGACCTAGAGTGATTGAATTTAATGAATATGTGTGGGGAGGG